AATTTCTAGATATTAATATTAGAACCTAACAAAAATAGATACTACATATTCTCAGTTTTCAGTTCTAGGTTTCAAGGTGATATATGAAAATGCAAACCACTTAAACTAAAACACATCTTTATCACTTTAATTATTAGTATATATTACTTTGTCTATTCTGGCTGGGTTATGTGGAATTTAATTCCAACTCTTAATTGTGCTTTTCTAAGAAAAGCAGCATGGATTTAATGTTGAGTAAAACCCAACCGGGCTTCATTCCAGGTTCTGGTACTAATTTATTTTGTGATTAGAAAAAGGCATAAAAATGCCATGTGTGTTTGTGTGAGATTCTGTTTTTGTGAACAGCTGTGTTACCATTTTTGTTGGTTAAGAATTAACATGTTGAATTAAAAAAAAATATATATATACATGGGATTTTATGTTGCTGTTTAAAATCAGGATGATGCATCTACACTGAAGTTCGAAGTAAGAGCGACAGCCTCACCAGAAAAAAATGCAAAAGTTATTGAACTACAGAAGGACAAGCAAGTTGCATATGTAAGAATTCTCTTACTGAATTTATGATAAAATAGTTAAACTAGGAAAGAAAAAGCATCCTATATAGATGTATGCACAAACACTGAAGACAATCATTATTTAAGAATTAATTCATTTTTCCAGTTATTAGCATCTTTTGGGAAAAAAATAACATTAAACTTATTTTCCACCTTTCAGGTCTATTTGGAAGGAGTGCACCACCAAAAGCCAAAATACCATGTCACTGTATTAATTATTGGAATAGGCTTAATAGCTGGTATTACTTTGTTTTTGCTTCTTTCACTTCTATTATGGAAGGTAGGTTTTCAGTATTTCTCCATTGTTCTCAAATTAGGAATTCACAGTTTCGGAGGATCTTTGGATTCACTAATCCGGCTTAACAAATAAAATAATAATTTATTATCTGTCCTTTCTAAAGAAACATAACTCCTAATATAGTGTGTTTTCAAAAATACTTATCCATTTTCCTTCATTTTATCTTATACATATTCTACATTTTGCATTATTCAATACTATAAACCCCTTCCCAATTTTTTTGTGCCATCTAATGATTTATGTAATTTAATATAAATTGTTTTTGATATGTTTTGATTGTTTTAATATGAATTGTTTTTGTTTTTTAATTTAACACCACTTTTAACACCACTTGACACATGATCAGTAATTACCTATAATATAGTTGCTTGTCAGAGTAAAATGATGTAAACTACTACATAAATGCTAAAATATCATGTGCACAATGAACTAAGAAAACAGTGAAAGAAAAGCTGCTCTACCATGCAGTTAAGATATTGTTAGCTACCTTTACCTGCATGCAGACTTTCTCTATCATTTTTCCCGGAAAGTGTACAAATGAAACAGATTAAACTGCAATGTCTTATTACCATTTCACATTTTTTAAAAACACTGAATTCTGTGGACAGTTCGGTCTGCTTTTTCTTACTCCTTGCGTCAGGAGAGCATTAAAAAGCAGCTCCTTCTTTTAATTGATGACTACCATTTGATTAATTAGTATGACAAAACAATGACAAATACAATCTGTTAATAAGCACTATATATAGATATTTTATTTTAGTTACACTGCTTAGATTTGATGACATACGTGATTTTGGAATCTGTTGATGTATTTCAGATTGGCTTCTTCAAAAGGCAATACAAACCAGTTCCTCAGGACATGAATAGAAGAGACAGCTGGAGTTTTACAAGTGGCAACAAAGATGACTAGGAGGACAAATAAAACTGGTTTTGAAATGAAGAATTTAAGGTTTGGGTTAATTCACAGGAGAAACACCAGTGAAACAAAAAGTGGTCATGAGTTCAATTGCTCTTACAAAACAACCCTTTATTTCCTAGATCTGTATTGACATCTACATCTTAATGTTCAGTTATTTTTATAATGTGAAAATGGTACAACTATTTCTGTTTATAAAAGTCTTACAATTATATTTGAAATACCATCTTGGTTTCAAACAGACAGCAGAACACTAAAGATAAAGAGAATAACAGTTACTTACTGGAATGAAGATGTCTCAGAATGTAAAGTGTGACCAATCCTGGAAAATAAGATCTCAAACATTAATGTGAGTTGTTTTATGCATTTTCAAATTTCAGCAATCTTTTGATTAGACATTCAAGAAGAAATCCTCCCTCATCCTGGTTTGGCAGTTTTACAAGGGTACATTAGCTTAAATCAACAGAAGGACCATAACTAGAATGCATAGACATAGAAAACAGCTATTGGAAGCTCTCTTGGGCTTCTAAAGGAAACCTCAAAAAGCCTTGGCTTCACAGACACAGCTCTACAGTATCGGAGATACTTAGTCAGGCAAGCCAGAGCCAGGAAAGCCAAAGGTAGATTTACAACAGGGAATTCTGTGTGGTAGCCTGGACTTGTAGCACAGAATCCTCTGTCAGCTGTAGAAAGAGTAATGTATAGGAGATCATAAGTTGTAGCCATCTGTAACATGGTACTTGCAAAAATGACAGAATTAGTTGTTTTGTCCTTTCCTCAAATACCAGTGCCATGATGCTTTGGATTTCTGCAGTAAAATATTTCTATATGATGGGGGTTTTTAAAGTAAAATATTTATTTTTATTTATTTGAAGATTTTTTTAAATAATACTTAGCATAGTAGCCTTTAGTACTATTATTCTTCCAGTAACTGAAAAAGACAGACTTCACATGATGAGAAAACAGAGATACAAATGTACCCCACTGCACTAAAAGCCAACTGTACTGGGCCAAATTTTATCTTTAGATTGTTCATCTAAATGTATGTAAGAAGCCATTTGGAGAGTTAATATGGGTTCTTGTGAAGTTGTTAGTTAATGATCATCTAAATTGGCATCTTCAGAAGCAACTGAGTAGAAAGGCAAATGACTGAATAGAAATATGGTTTAAACCACTGATGTGCTACTACAGGAAGTTTCTTCAGCTAGATAAGTTTACACTGCCACCTAGCTTTGGTGAAATAAATAGTACAGTCCAGGAGAAAAAAAAACCTTGACTGCTCCCCAGTACAACCACAGAATCTACAAAGTCATCAATAACCAAATTTATTGTAACAGCAGTATGTAATAAGGCCATTCTTGCCCTGACTTTGATGTCTTTCTGAACTGTAAGGAGAAACAAGTTTAATACATACAAACACTTTGAAGCTGCACCATCATATGACATTTAGTTCAAAAACGATGCGTAGTGCCTTCAGCAAACACTTTGCAAATGGGTTATATTTGGTGCCAGAAAATCCACACTGTCCACAGATTAATAAGGCACTGGGGACCATTTTGTAATTTCCGCTCGCTTAATTTGATGCCAAAGTTGTGGACCCCTCTAAAGTAACTTTTGTCTCAAAAATCATAGGTAGTGTAAGGACAAATGAATGTGTATGTATTTATATATATGTATATCAAAAAGCGTATGAGGAATGTGAAGAATGAAATACTTTCTTGCAAGTCTACGAAACATACAAAATGTTCATCTTCCAAATGGCTTTAGTGATTTTTTGCACTTTAACCAAAATGGCTTTGAACAGAAATTGGTTTGAGATTACAGCATATAAATATACCTCAAATGCTGGAAAAAGCATTAAAATTCTTTTTAGTACAAAAAATGCAAAGAAGTGAAACTAAAGCATTTTATTTGTCTTTGAATTAGTTTACATAAGTCAGTAAATGTGATAATGTTGCCTTGGAATGCTTTCTATTCAGATTTTGTAATTAACATGTAAATGTTGGTTTCCTGTTCTTAAGATATGAAGCAAAAGTCAACTCGTTGTTAGAAACAAGGTTGACAAAAATAAATGTACACTGTCTTAATGGTGGCAAAATTATAAAGAATCACTTGATTTTACTTTACTAAAGAGAACTCCAACAAGTTGAGCATGAATGCTGTTTCTTTTGTAAGTTCTTTTGTGAATTTTCAGTTATGTAATAAAAACAGTTAAATCTACTCCATGTAGCTGGAATATTCTTCTCATACACCTTCAGGAAGCTTAGTTTAAATTGTCATAAACATTAAAATATTTGGTGCAATACAGTAGCAAATACAGCAACAGAATAGACTACTCACTGTGACTCAGAACAGCCATCAGCTGAAATGAGAGGATCCCACTGAACATCAGGAAAATCCTTTTCCCCACGAAGATAGCCCAGAAGGGGAGCTCAGAGAGGTGGTGCATCTCCTTACTCAGATGGCTTGAGATCATTTTGAATAGTCGGGAGAAACCAGTGTTGACCTTGTAGCTGGACCAACTTGGACAGGAGATTGGGCAGGGGCCCTGTCAGTGCCCCGTTCAGTCTGAAGGATGCTATGATCGTGCTCTGCCATCATTGCCCCAGTGCCAAGCATAACTGTAGCTGCAATGGTCCTATAATGATTACGTCTGAAAGAGGCATTTATACTGTCTATGAATTTGGCTTCTACTACTGGCCACGTTTGTCCACAGAAGCTGCATGAGGTTTCCAACAAGTAACAGCTTGTTCTGAGAACACAAGTAGCCATCTACGATACTTGTGTACCTTATTTACCACCAGTAAGAATTTTTCACGAGACTTAGAATGGAGTGAAATATACAGCTCATGCAAGTCTTGAAAATACAGATCCCATGAAATCTTAAACAACTGGATTTCACAGTATACTGAACTACTTACAGAACAAAGACTTGGAGCAAACCTGTGCCAGCAATGAAACAACGCTGCTTTCACACCATTGTGCATCCACCTGTTTCATAACAATTCATAGACAAGAGAACAGAACCACACGCTTAGCACTGCAGACAAACCCACCAGGCTGCTCCTTTTCATCATCTTTCTGGAAACTGGCTCTTCCTTTGAGAATCTGCTCTAAATTTGCATTCATCTCAAATAATGTAGAAAATACATAAGAAGTCACCTAAAAAAAAATAAACACTTATAAAAATATTTATGCCCTTTAAGATAGTTACCAAAATTTGAGTCAATGAGAAAAGGTTATTTATCACAACTTTATTCTCAGCAACAGCAAAAACTAGAGTTAATATTGTTAGCTCTACATTACATTAAATACTTCAATTTTTTTTTTTTTATTTTGTACAATGAGTAGTCCTTAAAATACCTTTCAACAAAAATTACACGTCACCATGTTCTTTTTTTACTGTTTGACTAGAAACCAATTTGAAAACAAACATTAAGGAAACACTGTAAGTGATTCCTAGAACTGGAAATACCTGATCTACGCTTTGCCACTACTCTTCAGTGTGAGGACTATCTTATCTCCACTCACTAGTTCTGTTTGAACTGAGTAACCCGACAAAATGGTAACAACAGCAAACTCAAAAATACTTCATATTAGATATACTGCAGAAGCCTGAACAATTTTCAAGAAAACAAAAGACTTTCCATCTATAAGGACAGATTATTTCAGAACCCAAAATTTATTAAAGAAATCCATTTAATCATTTTTTTCATTTTTTTCTTGTTAAGCCTAATAAAGTTTTTTCACAGTAAATATAACAATAAAAATATATAATTTGATAAAAATTTTAAACTAGAAATGTAATAAACATCCTTCCTTTTACAACTGAGTTCAATAAGTGCAAGAATGGGACATAGAAAGAAGAGCATACAGGTGTGACAGGGACTTATAAAGAACATTCAGTGTATCCCTTCTATATGCAATTGCACGTTGCTTTGGAACTCTCCAGATCATCAGTGTTCACTCCATAGAGATTAATAAGTTGAGGATGCACCCTGCGAAGTGAGGAAGTCAAACTATCAATTCCATCAAGTCCTGCAATCCATGCCTTTTTTTAAACAAATATACATAAAGTGCTATATGGAATAAAATAATGTGAATTACATTGTGACATCTCCTACAAGGTCATCTCTAATCTCTACAAGCATATTATTTTCTCAGTCATCCTATAATAAAATCAGTCTTCTATAGCTCAGACTATGTTACTCTGACTCTGTACACACTGCAGAAAAAAACAAGCCATCTCACATTTATTTCTACTGCTAATCCTCTAATTTCTGTGTATTAATTAATATTCTTTCTTCAATCCTACATATGGACACTATTCTCAATTACTACCAAGTTTCCCACAATTCAACAGCTAAGTTTTTATTAAGGTTACAAACAAGGCTTTCCACGCGTACCCAAATAAGTCCTCCCAGGCTTACTGAACTTCAAATTTAACTGCCCTCTTCTAACAAACAGAAGAGTAAAGTAAAATGGGCTGAAAGGGCAGAAGAGGAGCTGGAAGGTCATAGGGACTACAAACCTTTCCAGAGATGTGCACAAGGCAATGTGGCAGACACCCTGCACAGCAGGATACAAAAATATTAAAGTATTTACACTCTCTTTTGGTGTATTTGCATATATACACTTAAGATTGCAGTGCTAGTCTTCTACAGGGATATTGTCCATAAACATAATACTCAGCCTTACCGAACATGAACTTCTGATGCTTCTACTAAGTCCCCATCTATATTCCAAGGGTAATTTTCTTCTGCAGCAGTGTTTTCTTCAGCATCAAGCCCACTTTCAATTCTTGGTTGCACTTTTACTTCTTGAACTGTGTATGTCTCAACAAAGGGAAAACTGAACTAAATCAAACACAGGCACATGTTAAACAAAGATGAAAGCTATAGGTGATACTTTGCAACAAACTGGATTACATGAAATTAAAAAGATTGGGGATGTTTTTGCCTCTTAATTGTATGAAAGCGCTTAACTCTAAATGTGAACACATATAGAACGTATTGTATATTCCAACTAGCATTCATAGATTACCTGCTATTTCTTATCCTAAACAGTGCCTCAGTGAAAAAAAAGAAAAAAGAATAATACACATTATTCCACTCGCATTCCTATATCAGACTTGCTTAATTTACAGATGAGGTGGTATATTTTTCACATGCCAAAACGGCATATGCTCTCTGAATACATTAAAGTCCATGGAATTTTTTTCCTATCATTTGTTTGGCACTGCCAGTGATCCTGTTCTCAAGTCTCAAGTGAGGCTCTACCATCTAACTGTAATTTTTAACTATACAGACAGAGAAAAGCAAAGCCTTCTTCCTCCAAGGGCGTAACTATGACACATAATTGGAAAACACAAACTGTTTCCTAAAAGCATCTGTTAGTGCTGTCACACGGTACTGCCACCACCTCCATGACAAACTCTGACTGCTCAATGATTATCTAATCCAAGCCTGGACCTACCTGTAAAGTGAGTTCACATACCCCTGAAATGTTTGAATGACTACCACAATGTTTAGGCTACATATGGGGTATTTAGGATGACATTTATGTTTAGATGCTTCATTTTTTCTTTTCTTTTCTTTTCTTTTTTTTTTTTTAAAAAAAAAAAAAAGAGAATATGATCACAGTTTTTATGTACAGTTCTATAAATATTCATAAATGGTTGAAATGTATATCTGCTAAACTCAATGGTGATAATCTGATGCTGTCGGTGTAAGGTTCAGCAATCTGCAGATGTTATGGACTTCACCTATTTCTTACAGAGATGCATCATGTCCCCAAGTCTTGATCTCTTACACAAGATTCAAATACAGCATGCATTTTTCTATTGTGCTTTATTCCCATAAATCGATGGTAAATCAAAAATACAATTTAAACCACAACAGATGGGTTGAAATAGGCTAATCGGTATTAGTCTAGTGATTTAAGAAAAAAAAAAATCAGATAAAAAGGGGGCTAATGTATTCTGACAGGAAGCTAAGTCTCCTTATGAGGATGTTAACATTAACCCTTCCAGCATGTCTACCTTCACTATTTACTGTTCCTCTTAAAATCACCGGAACGAAATTAACAGTACCTGATTTTTTACACTGGCATATCTTTTCAGGTGTTTTATAAACTCAGTGCGGGAGGTATTCCGTACAGCAATCAGAGCCATGCTTCCATTATTTAACCTGAAAAGCAGACATAGTTCCCTGAAGTAAACACATTACTGGAAGTTTAACAGGCTTATAGGTGCAAGAGCACACTAATAGAATAGTTATAATTTAAATATATACTTTTAAACAAAACAAAATAAAACCCCCACATCTTTATAGATCAATTAAAATGATGCATTTGAAATTACTTGGCATCTCTATAACTAAAACATACACAAAAGAAATTTTACTTCTTCATCAATAGCTATAATTTATTAAATGCTATGCATATTTAAATGAAAATGCTTTTCTACTTAACAGCAAAATTCTTAAACATCACAAATTTGTTTTACATTTCTCTCCAACAAAGTATGATGATTACCAGAAATCCTGTGATTAACCGCTCCCATGACATGTGAAGCACATACCACTCAGTGCAGTTAGACTCATTCAGCTCCACCATTCACACTTCAGCTGCCTTAATGAACATCCTCATCTTAACCATGCTGCTATTCAAACCCTCTTAGAAATTCTCAGCAGAGTTCTATACTCCACATGTTTCACGTAGAATGAATAACTTCAAAACTGAAGGGAACCTGGTACAAAAGTGTACACTGGAGGTAAATCAAGAAGAGATCTTACAGTGCAGATAACTATTGGTGCTAGGTACTTGCAGTGATATTTAGCACTTCTAAATTTGAGTCAGACAATGAGCTGGTACTACTTCACAGGCTCCTTAATGCAACTGTATCCTGTCACAGAAACTAGCTGCCTGAATCTCATTTCAACCGTTCCTAAGTCTCATTCAAGTTATGGAGAGAAACCAACTTTCAAAAAGTGTCTCTGGTAAAAACGCCAATCACTGCTGAGACTGTATTTTATATTATATTCAGAAGATACATTTATTCATTCACTAGGAGCAATTAAGAAATAGGTTAAGGTCATTTCAAAACAATACTTTCCAGCGCCCCACCACATAACTCCCCACCCAGAGCTTCCTGGCTGTTTAACAACTATAACTGGAACATTCTCAGACTACAGTAAAGCACAACCTAGAAAGATAACTTTTATACAGCCATGGAACAAGTCAGATGGCATAGCGTTATTTTACTGATTTAGAAAATAATTTTTTTTTTTAGTAAAATTGAAGCAATTGCCTCCTTATCAAGTTTTTACTAGAAAAGACGTAGCAGTTTACTGGAGAATGCATTTCACATTAGAGCATTTCTGAGATGATTAAGAATTCTCTTTAATTCTTCTGCAAGTCCAATCTGCAGTGAAGCATGACACACTGCAGATTTAGGCTAGTATAAAGAGAGTTGCAATAGTCAAAGCATTCATTCATCTTAAATGTCTTCACATAGCAAAAAAAAAAAAAAAAAAAAAAATCTCATGAGAAAAAACAGATCAGAGTGAAGAAACCTAGATGTACTTAGCTGACACTACCATAATGGATTCTGCATCTCAAGCGAACAGTGCAACATTTGTTTCACAGTTTGAAAAGCTTTACAGTCAAGATATTATTGACTATGAGAAATGGAACAACTGTTTGAAACATTTACACTTCTCACCCTGCCGGATAACTTAATTTCTATGATAATATTCAACAAAGAACAAAAATGGTGTACAAAATAGGGGGATCCACTAAGCAACTCTGCTGAAGGAGAAACAGGTTCATTCAAACCTGTATAATTGCACGGAATTGTCTTAAAATTCTGTATCACTGAGGAGCAGGTGTCATAACAGATGGAAAAAGAAAGCAAAGCTAAAAAAGACTATTCAGTTCTTGTCAGAAGGTTTCTGCTAACTGAAATATAACAGTAAATGCTGAACAGAGATAGTTTTCCTGGGAGGGGAAAGCAGCACAGCACTACCTTAAAGAATATGCACCTCAGCAGGACTCCCCAAACTAAGAAAAATTCTCCACAATATCTTTATCAAACACAACTATTTTTAAGTCATTTTCAATAAGGCAAATCCTAACAGATCAGCAAGTAATTTGGAAGATAAATATCTAACAAGTCTTAAGGCATATTCATTTTCACTAAAGATAATTAAAACAGGCTCATTCCATAATTTTTATGAGCAGTAATGTATAAGGACTAATATATAATGTACAAGAAAAGTTTATGAATTCTTATTTGAGAGATTCTGTTGAATTTCACATACAACTGTGAAGCTCCTACTTGCTATTATTCCGCTTGTAATTGTTAACCTAATACATTAGCTACAAAGATTTATCACCTGATAGCTGTTTGAGCACCACAAAATATGCTGTCAACAATGAGCCAAGGCAAACTGAATAAGTGTCAACAACCAGATTACATGCACATTTGTTTTCAAAAGCGCTAAATATAAAACTGCATTTCCTAAACTTGGCAAAAAATAAGGCAAAATACAAGTATGAATTTCAGTGCTTGACAGAAGGACTTCATTGCTCCTGACTGCAAAGCAGAAGACAAATGGCACCTTTATGCTTGAAAAAGTAAACCAAAATTTAAGAACGAAGTTTCTACATATAGCCAAAACCTATGACAGACAACTGCTCGATGACTACTACTTCAGTTGGACTTGCCAACTAATTTAATCACAGCAATTATCTACTCATTATTCTAGTTAGACTACTTGACCTTATTTGCTTGATCCTAAAACTGATTACAATTCCTGGGATTATCAAGTCTGCTGCAGTCCGCACTCCCTCCCCTGCTCCATAGTCTAGACTACCTAAACACAGCCTTGTATTCTGGGAAAAGCCAAGGTCTTAAGGTAAGATGTCAGAATTTATAGATGTGACTAATTCTTTAAACCTCCACTGACCTCGTATTAGGTGCCAAGCCTCTTGGTGCCATTGAACACAGACAAGGGATTGCCATAATGCTCACGTTCAGGAAGTCACCCTGAATTTTGTGCCACTGATCCTTGCTACCTAAATATAACAAAGTAATTCATATTACTCCAGTTTAACCACTCACAGTTCATCTTTAATGAATCATAAAAGCTAAGGCTCACCTTTTTTTTTGTTTTTTCCTTTTTTCTTTCTAGAAGGGTGAAAAAACATGTAGGGAAAATAATTTAAAATAAATTTAGCACATATAAATATTTCTTCAGAAAAAATTCAACGTGTCACTGGACGACAGAAATAATGGAATTGAACAACACAAGAATATTAAGAGAAAGTCTGCTTTGTAATAAACCCTCTGTAGTCTCAGAGACAGAAGGACTATTTTACAAACCGTGAAAGTTCACAGTTCTCAAAATAAATCATTTTCCTTTTAAAATTTTATCTGATGACTAAATTTGAACTAAATACAAAAATTCGCACTATTTTCTCTTCAACAATATATATACTTTTTTTTTTTTAAAAAAAAAAACATTTGAGTTTGACTGTTTTACTTACCTGTCATTCTCATAAGAGTCTTCCTGTGGAATTTGTACAGGTAGAAATGATAATTCACATTTCTCAGTCCTGGAAAAATATTTATAGATAGTGTAATATTTACTGTAATTCAGTTTTCTGACTGCTAGACAAACTTTTATTCAAATTAAAATGATTTTAAGGAAATGGTGAATATAACAAATTTAGCAACCAAAAGATAAGTCAAGACAGCTAAACTACTGTTGTCTATATTTTACCGCATTCATTATTGCATATTCCTCAAGAAAATGAGAAATAGTAGAAAAACGTAACAACTTATGGCATACTTGAGATCTGCCAGTGTTTTGATAAAAGCAAAGTTCTTTCGCTGATTGGAGGGCATCCAACGGTTCTTTTCAGCCAAAGCTAGAGTCCTTGCACCAAAACCAAACATAGCCGAGAACCCAAAACGCAAAAGCCTGCTTGGAGTACTGAAAGTACAGGCATCTACTGGTTGAATATGACCTAAAAAATCAAAGACAAAGGTCAGAAATTACAAACAACAAACCAAACATAACTTACTATTTCATTTTCACCTGATTTTAACTGAGTGAAAGATCTGCAGAATATTCTCTCCTTAGGAAGTCAAGTTTTACTAATGAAAATTAGAATCAACTCAGATATAATCAAGACTGTAGAAGTACTCATTTCAGAGAACAATGTTCAGGAAACTTCAAAATGTCAAAATTTTTTACGGCAAAAATCCAACCAACTCGTCAGGCAGGACATACTGTGACTTTCAATTACTATACAAAGAAAATTACAGTTGCTACATAAATACATTTATGTCTATATTTAAGAGTTCTGAAATATAGTATCCAGTGCAATCATTACAAGCAGTGCATCATTACAAGCAATTGGTGAAATGGTCACAAATGTTTTTACAGTTACAGAACAAAGACATTTAATTTCGTTCAATATAGAGTATATATACTTTTTTTTTTTTCTATGAATGAATCTGTTGTTTCCATTATGTTCACAGTCTCTGGAAAAGACAGTTTCAGATTTTGTATATAAACTGTAAGCTTTACTATCCAGGAAAAGGAATATTCCACTGCTGACTGTAAGGTCTAGAAAACACACATTCAGGATGAAGCTTCCTTATCCATTATTCTCTTTTTGAAAAATTATATATGTATTTTTATATATGTATCCTAAAAAAACTTACTTTAGGAGAAACATTGACCTTATTCAGTTAAGCATTTGCTACTTCCTAAGTCCTGGAAATATGGCTTACACAGGCAAGCTAGTTGTTCCTCTTAGCATAATCAGATTTTCACACATAAAACCCCATTTGTTGTGCAGATCAGACTGAATGGCAAGAAATGAAATTCTTCTACAAATAAAGCTTTCTTATGGAAACTGTTGCGTGTGTTCTGGGTTTTTTTTTGTTTGTTTGTTTGTTTTTTTAAGGAATGTTCAGCCAGTACATAACACACAGAGTAACACAGTTCACACTACACAGTCCAGAAAAGTTACTCTTTGCAATAAAGAACATCAGCAAGAGGAAATGAATGCCAGAATTGTTACAGATTGTTAAAATTACCTTTACTATTAAGCTACATGCAAAGAACATTCCATACTCTATAAACCAGGTTAGAATCATTTGGACATAAAAGTCTTACAGTATAGGTTACAGTGCTACAGCATAACACTAGCTATTTATTAAACAATTGGCTATGGCAAATCCCTAAACGCTGCTTCACTATTTAAAAACAGACACTGTGCCTATAAGTATTTACCCATTACAATGTGCAGCGTTGCAGTCACCACATGTTTGATGCCATAGAGAGTGTAGGCCAAAATATTAGTAGTACCTGCAAAAGTAAACACAAACTATCGTAAATAAGATAGAAGATAGCAAGAAGTATATATTTATGGCATGTATACAAAAATTTCAGAAAAGGAAATTGAGATGGTTAATACATTTTCAAAGCCCCCTACACAAATTATTCCATCTTGGTAAAAGCAAAATGCTAAGTAGCACAAATTATAAGCATACAAAATTCCAGAGATCTACAAAATCCTATCTGTATCTTCACTGATACATGCCATAAAATCCAAAAGCAAATATTGCCTTCTTTGTTGCCGCTATTAACCTAACTCCCTTTACAAATATTTTTTTTCTACCTAAGTCCAATACTGGGAAAATGTACCAGCAGGCAGATTATCAAGTAGGATTCATGTGGGGAATGCTGTTTTGTTTTGTTTATTTGCTTGTTTTTAAGTTGGAAAAACAATACAATGTCAGGCCATTGAAAACATCAAGTTTCCCAGGCAAAACTCTACAATATCTAGTCAGAATGCTGCTTTTTCCCTTGCAGACTATATCTGAGAAGTAACAGCAGATATTGTTGATTACAGCATGCTAATTTTATGTATAAGGAGAACATCAATGACTGAAAAACAGCTTTTCTTAGCCGAGTAGCAGGGCCACAGGATTCCATTCTGCACAGCTAGAACTCCAGGGCTGCACAGAGAGAATATTGAGCTTCTTTATAGCACTGAGTAAGGCATGAGTAATTCAAGAACAGATTAATTCAAATTACAAAAATTGTAAATGAACAATTTAGAACCTAACATCCCATAAAGGAATAAGTTCACTTAAATTTTCAAATCATTTTCTTGTTGCTTGAATTATTTAATATGCTACAGCAGCAATAGACAACTCTGGTTGATAAATTTGCCTTCTATTTTATGGATGCATGTAAATTTCTCTGTCAACAGTGGGGGTGGGGGGGGAAAGAAGCAAGGAAAGGGAAGAAATCATCATATTTCAAATAAGAGGCACTCAATATCTCAATAAGCACTTTAAAAGCATCATATACCAGACTGAAAAATTATGCTCATCTCAAAATTTTGCCATCTTTGATGTCACTTGAGTGGTAGAAATCATACTAAATATGGAAAGATTGATGTACATAGTTGCATAGCTCTAAAGGCATCTTGTCATTCTTATTCAGTAATACATGCTTTGCTTTTTTTTTTCCCCAATAATTCCCCTAAACAAGAATGTTAAGAGAAAAAAAAAAAAAAGAAAACCAGGTGTATTTTATCACAGTATCTCACAGAGAACCTGTTACCTCCTTAGGTCACCTCAGTCTCTGGAAGCAACCAGAGTGCTCAGAGTTTCATGGAAAGCCTTCAGAATGTCAGAGAGAGAACTCTGAGTAAGGGCTTCAGGGCTCCTGCTATGTGAAGGAAATGAGGGAGGTACATATATCAACATAACAGACACAACATTTTTTGAAGTTTACATCCTCAGTCACAGTGGAAGAAATCTGACCATTATTCTTTGAATAATTCAAACAGAAATGAAATTTAATTCAGATATTTCTCAGAGTTTAGAGGTGACTATAATACCTGTTTATTTCTCCCTTTCCTAAAGAATGTATTTAAATATGCCCATGAAACTGGGATTACAAAGCACTTTGAGAGAAGAAATCAACAAATTCAATCTTAACTTTTTTTTCCCCCCTCAAAGAATTTTTCTCTACATACAGTACCAGAAAGTGTATTTTATTATGTATACTACAATGCCAGCAATTTATCTCCAACAATTTATATCCAGCAACTCAATGAAAAGCTATTTGAACTTCCCTTTCTGTACAAAAGCAAACACAAAATTGTAGCTCGAGACGCCGTTTAATATTCAAATCAGCAACTTTTATCACTTCAATGAACACAAAATATAGTTCCATACAGAAAACTTTGGGATAAAAAAAAAGAAGTTTGCCCTAAAAAGTTATTCTTCAGAGAACAGTACAAGTCTGTGCTTACCGTATTTCGTGTTTGATTATTTCTGACATTTAGACTCTAGATTCAACTGTTTTTGTTTAGTCAGTGAAGCTCAAGTAGGAGCTCAAAGCATTCAGAGATACCTCCTTGGATCAGGTTTTTGGTTTTGAAACTTTAAGTGACTTTTATAGGAATCTTTTTTTGAGGAGAAAGAAAAAAAAAAAATGTGCTTTGTAATTGGGATGAAAACAAAGGAAATCACCCACAAGCAGTATATTTTTACAAGTAATGCAAAGTTATTCTGATAAATATTGCTTTTCTATGTCATTGAAGATCAAGCTAACAGAAGAGCACAGGGTAGAATAAACTTCAAAAGATTGGGTTTGGTACCTCTTAAACTGGAATTCCTCCTTTAAGTAAGAGTGATTCATCAATACAGATGGCAACAAGATAACAAACGGCCAGGGCTGAAATCAATACCAATTTTCATGCTGACTTTAATGAGAGTTAAATCTCATTCCTACTAAACAGGATAGCACAAATAATTGCATCCTTGTCTTAAATCTGTGAAACTCATTAAAATCTGCAGAAGTAAACAAAACAAAACCCCACCTCTCCCGGCTACTGAGAAAGTAAGCTCTGCCTGTGTTCAAAAATGTAAGTACTGCATGCAAGCGAGCCCTTCCACGAGCTGCAGATCCAGAATATGCATAGTTATACAGCAGGGAATGTCACCACCTATTCCAGAAAACATTCTTAACATGCACCTAGCAGCATTTTGACCCTTGATTGAATTAAGCATCCCTTAATCTAGGTCCTGTACAAAGAGGATGATGCAAAGAAAGATTACACCAACAGAGATAAAACAATCAAAGTTACCATACAAATAAAATTGTTAGGATTAAAACTTCACTGACTTAAATGGTGATTCAATAATAATGGTTTTAATGCCTGTACAATCAATGAATATACAGATAGTGTAGTATACCCAGGAGTTTGTCTGATGTAATTATGATACTAGAGTAAGGAAAAGAAAACACTCACCATATCCTGGGCTCGCACAATAAACTCCAGTGGAGTAGCTCTCCAGAAGAGAACCTTCCCCACTGGTAGTCAGTTCTTAAATGGGCCTAGCCTGGCTCCACCCCTTCCTGCAGCACAGGTGAATGGCCTTCACCTGTGCTCCCGTGGTTGACTCAGTGCTTGCCTCAGGTGATTAATCAGAGGTTCAGGCCGTGATTCAGCAGCCCCATACAATGCCATGATTCATCTTTTTAAGTCAACCTTAAACCTTTCTTAACTCTATGTAAGTTTGGAATATTACTTACCATCAACAAAGTGGTTTCCATGAACACTATTGTACTACACTGAAGTGACTAATAACCTCCTTTGACGCTCATATATGGCCTTGTTCTCCCCAAAGATTACAGCAGGCACATTTTTAGGTCTCACTCCAACTACTCAGTTCATTGTAAATCAGCATAAAAGTTTTCGACCATACAACTCCAGCATCTTTGTCAGACACTTTTTTTTTTTTTAAACAGAAACCAAAATAGATTTTATTATTCCAGAACTATAACCCTGTTCTAAATATTCACCCTGTTTCCTGACATTACCAACAACTTCCCACAATCTTAATCCTACAAAATGCACAAAAGCATCATGGTAAGGATTAAGTATCTGCAGGTCACGTAAAAAATGACTGATGGAGGTACCAAACAGAAACTGTAGGGAAAAAATTGTCCTTGGAAGTGCAAGCACTTCTGCAGTACAATTAACTTAATTAACCAGACAACATGAATATTCATAAGGCTGTTAATGTCTCCCCCATCCAAACAGATAAATGTGATGTAATGACTTCCTAGTCAAGCATAGCTAAAATTCTGATGAAAACTGCACCAACATTTTGGTTCTTTGCCTGAAATATCACAGAAATTAACAGTCCCTCAGTAATATTTTATTTTACAAATTAATTGGAAACCATGAATTTATTTAAATGAACCACTTAGGACCAAAAGGCTCGCAGCCATTGGATACAGATTGACTCCTGCTCATCACAACAGGATCACTTTCCATGTCCTCCTGCTCCCTCTGCAGCCCCTCAGCTGCAGTTCCCATAGCAACAAGCTCTTGCTGGTGGCTGGTGGGACCACCACAGGCTGCCCTACATCACCCCTCCGGCTGGGACCACAGGAAGGCAGCCTGGGAGCTACTGCCATGGTGCTCTGCTAAAAGTATGCTCTCGTAAGATCTGTCTGCCCAGAAGGGAAGCAGTTTCAAAAGCAGCTTCTCCCCATCAGGTGGATTGGAACTTCAAAATGCTGCTCTATCTACTGACAACACACCAAACCCAGATCTCAATCTCATCTGCCTTCAAAGAGTGCAATCCCACAGAATCATAGAATGGCATAAGACTTCCGGGGCATCCACAGCTTTTCTGGGCAGCCTGTGCCAGTGCCTCATGCCTCCTGAGTAAAGATATTCTTCCTAACATCTAACCTAAATATTTCCTCTTTTAAAGCCATTCCCCTTTGTCCTATCACTATCAGATTGTGTAAAAAATTGGTCTCCCTTCTGATTATAAGTCTCCCTCAAGTACTGGATGTCCACAATGAGGTCTTTCTAGAACCTTATCTTCTCCATGCTAAACAAGCCCAACTCCCCCAGCCTTTCTACATAGGAAAGCTGCTCCAGTCCCTTGATCATCTTCATTGCCCTTCTTTGGACCCCACAATATTTTTCTATTCTTGCTCAGTCAGAAAATCCTAATAATTGGTTCGGTGAAATTACAGGTGGAAAGACCATTAAGTACATCTTTATGTGCCCAAGTATTACACTGACCTGTTTCCTGACTACTTTTTGAAATATAAACACTATTGAAATAAAGGAAGATACTCAGGAAACCAATACGAAGTTTCTCACACTTTCACTATAAATTGATCCCAGTCTCTTTTAAGGAAGCCTACAGCAGTCTGTGTAGCAAGCAATAGAACACTCTCTCAGGTTCTCTTACCCTTTCATGACATTCTTCTGCTGACAAACTGAAGAGAGGAAGCACTGGCACTGAGGCGCAGTGACTTCTTGCTCCCGGCCAGACAGCGTGGAGAGAGACACCAGAGAGATTCCACCCTGCCACCACCTATCCACACACAGTCTTAACTGACAAGCGATGGTCAAAGCATGTAAAACTTGCTTTCTGAGTTTACAAATTACTTACTCCTTTCTTTGTAGAAAGCTGAAAAGAACAACTTGTTGTTCTCTTGGCTGAAGGTGTTTTTTCCTATTGGTTAAAATCATCTGAAAAATTACAGCAAGCATTCACATTGGCAGTCACACCTGAGGGTATTGTCCATGCAAAAATGCCCCCCTTCTTTCTAAGGGGCATAAGCCACACAAGTGTAAAATAAGCTCTGCATGCAGTTCTGCCTCATCCAAGTTACACTGAGAAGAGCAAGAGAAAAACACGGAAAGAAGGAGAAAAAAAAAAAAAAAAGCACAAGAATTATGTACAAGTTAAGGTAGGAACGAGAGCATTATTCAAAACAGATGCATGTATTTTCAGATCTGTGGAAGTGAAGGAAGATAAAGCAGTTTTCTGTACATAGTATTTTTATTTTTTAATATCATTTGCAATATATATTCCTGATACACCATTTAAAAAATAGATCGTGAGCATGAATACAACTGGGAATCTGCCAAAAAAATTGGAGAGAGAAGAAAAAACCACCACGGCCTGAATTAAGGACATTCTAGAAAACAAAGTTTGCATTTGATTGCATTTCTGTTGGCAAATAAGGGCAAAACAGGATTTTTGCATGGATCATCTGAAGATAATTTTAGTTTTCTGCCTCCAGAGCTGCTTCCTTTAGGCAAAGAGCTCATCTGTGTCATTACTATAAATTATCATAATGATTTAAAATCTAGTCATTTGTAATCAATCTAAATCACACATATAGGTCATTTATTCAATAACTCTCTTAAGTAACTGAAGCTTTAGCATCAAAAACTGCCTTTAGTAGCCAAACCTATAAAACGTGCCAAAGGGACCTAGAACAAATCACTGACAAAACATAACAGTGTTGTTTAGTCTCACCTGCTGGTATCACTCCAAGAGGGACTGGTGCTCTGACAGGTGCCGATATGAAGTCTGTGCTCTTTCCAGCATCTATCTGGGCTTTAAGTAGCAGACCATGAGCAACTTCACTGACAAATCCATCTCCACCAACACAAACTACTCTATTAAAAAACAAAAACATTTCACAGTTCAAAATAAACCATTCCATAATTGAGCAAACCAGCAGAAGGCAGCTAAAATACCACGTCAATGCAATGGTACTTCAAGCAGCTGAAATCCACTCTTTCTTTAGGAACAGTCAAAGCCTTACTGTCAGGTCAGTGCATATCAACTAACAAGATATAAGCATCCTTTTTTCTGCTTCCCTCTGAGTAGGAATAACTATACTTCTAACTTACATCTCCTCTTATAGCACCAGAGCCACAAAACCAAGCAGGGGAGGACTCCAGCATACGTCCAAGTACTTCAGAGGAAAAGCTCTCCAAATTTTTCAATATTGACCACCATAAGCATTCCAATCGTTTTTAATTGCCATTATCATAACAACTAACCAAATATTAAACTGAAAATACTTGAAAACACACTATGCAGACAGTGGAGAGATTTAGGAAGGTATAAAATCCTCATACCAGCAATCCTTTGCATGAAGGTACTTAATCACTGCTTCTGGAGCATGTAATTAAACTCCCACCTGTTGTGGCTATAGAGAAGAATGTATTTGTCTATAAAAGCTCTCTAAAAGCTCTATAAAAGTTACAGCAAGTGTCCATCGTTGATGCCATTTTCGGTTCTATTTATTCATTTTAGGCAAATATGAACACAATTCTCCAAATATGCATGTTTGGAAGTTGAAGGTTTTTAAGGTACACATTCTACAGAACAACAAATAGTAATCTTACACTCAATATGTTTACAATATAGGTAAGTCAAGTTTATTGTAGAAGGTGCTTATTTCAACCATTTTATCATACATTCATGTGAATGCAGTTGTGAAACTATGCCCAAAAATTCAGCCAGATAAAAATGGTGTGCTCTTTAAAAAATATATTCATGACATTACTAAGCGCTTAAATTAAATTAAATGATCTCTTTAGTCATTATTTTCTTTCTACAGCTTAATTTCTAAATTGGCAGGAATATTTCTCCCTCTGAGCTAAACAATTCTCATATGCACACACAGAAAAAAAATTAAAAAAAAAAAAAAAAAAAAAACAGGAAAAAAGAGGAAAATAGAAACATTTGGATTCTGTAATCTTACTGTGTGTAATCAGGAGTCAGATTTTTACTTCATTCTTTATTTAGTTTGACAGAATCATGGAATCCGTAGAGTTGGAAAGGATCTTCAAAGACCATCCAGTCCAACTCCCCTGCAATGAACAGGGACATACATATACAGCTCAATCAGGTTGCTCAGAGCCTGAGCCAGTCTGGCCTTGACAGTCTCCAGGGATGGGGCACCCACCACATCTCTGGGCAACCTGTGCCAGTACCAAGGCTTGAAAATCTCTGCCACAGGAGAAAAAAAAAAAAAAAGTGATCTTTGGAGTGTGATAAACCTAGAGGGACTTAAATGCAGATTCTAAATATTAGCACTACTGAAAACAGACAAATATTCTGATTTGGGATCTGTATTGTTGTTATAAACAAAGGATCAAAAAAAAAAAGAAAAAACAACCTGAAAGCCAAAAAGAAATGTAGCTAACTTTATTTTTTTAATTCATGTTAGTTCTCAACAGTTTCCCTTTTGGCCAGAAACAGAGATGGTATTAGGCACCAGGGATTTCAGATCTAATCAGCAAGAACCTGTTATGCATAAGGAGTGAAAAGCCTTGAGCAAACAGATTTGACTAAGACCACGAAGAAGGCCTCTTAGAGGAAAAAAACATCTGTCTAACCATCAGACACAAGTTTATCAGTCATCTGTTCCCTGAAGTCTGACCAACTCTAGCTACTCTAAATAAAATCCAGTCATGTAGGCTCCTGACTGGGGAAGAAATACTTGGATATACCTTTCACATTTGTTACTGCATAAACAAGAGAATGCAGCTCAGAGGCAGTTTGCATCTGAGATGCACGCGCTCTCTAACCATGGCTTGGCCTCCAGACAGAGAAAAAGCACACAGCCAACTTCGATAATTTATGGTGTGGGTAAGAAAAACAGAAGAGGATACAAAAAGAGGTGAAGTCACACATAAGATGCTTGACATACAGCCATGATGTTGCAGAACAGCATGGGAGCCAGAGAAATCAGGGAAAATAAATGATATAGAACACAGTCGAGGCCAGCTCTGACAAAGAATTAAAGCACTGCAGAATTGCTTACAAAAAGCACCCAAGATACAAATATGCTGGACTAACACGCTGCTGGAGGTGGAAAGCTTCCAAATTACTTCATGTACCGTTTAACATGTAAGGAATCATAAGCCTTTTCGAGACAAATTCAAGATCATAAATTGCACTTCATTATACTGCTTGCTTACTTTAATAAATAAAACAACATCGTGTCTTTGAGGTACAGAAATGCTGTTCTTCTGTTTTGTAGACAGGCAACCAAGAGAAATGTATCTGACTTGAATAAAACTGAACTGGAAGTGAAGGCAAAACTGGAGAGACTGGAGTCCACCAAATAACAAGCAATGCTGCTCAATAACTAACTGGGTAAAACTTAAAGGAAACAGCAAACAGACATCACATTAGGTGGCTGCCAGAATTGCTAAAAGGGGGAAAGAATTACCTTTACCATTAATCCTCCCTAAAACCAAACTATTACCATTTAGAAAGGACAGGGATCTGTTCAAATCAGGCATCGCTGCATTGCATTATTTTTTTTTCCAGCTTTTTCTGTTTTATTTCCTTTTGTACCTAAGGCTACTAGAAAGCCTTACAGAAGCACTCCAGTGACTTCACCCAATGTTCAAAGACAACAGTTTAAGAAAGCTTTATGTTTATTTATCATTATTTATGAATTAAAATACATGCCTGTTGACAGTTAAGTAATAAAAAATGAAGCATCTAAAGAGAATTGATTTTCTTAGTCTGAACATATATCATAAACAGAGTAACTCATAAAATACCTCTTGGCAGACTGGGTGGAATACAAATAAAAACTAGTGTTACAAGGTTTATTAATGTTCACAGCCACTTACCCATCAAATGCTTGGAGTTCACATTCTTTAAGTATTGACAGAGCATGTCCTTCATATTCAGATACTGTGGAAAACAACATTACTCAATTTTCAGAAGATTGGATAAATTGATTTTTTTTCCACTTCTAGCATAAGAAACACACATTAATTAATTCAGAATATATTTTTTATCATTAAATACATTACAGTTATGAGAAGGTAAGTTGTGCAATTACACTAGCTAAAGGGCAAGACATCAAAACTCAGCTGGCATCAGGCACATGGCTATTCAACACATTTAAATTCAGAGAATTAGAGAAGATGTTTGTTGCATCAAAATGGAACTTGTAGCATTGGCACAGTTGGTAACCTTCAGGAAAATGTAAGCATGTCATCAGTTAAGACTGAATTATTTCCATATCAATCACCTTTAATTGCCTTTGTATGCAAATTGCTAAATGAAAAATATCAGGAGTTACACACAGAAATATGAAATCAAGCCAAATACCAGTGACAACAGAATATAACACACAGAGGAAGGTGGCACAAGTATGCACCAGAGTTCATAGCCTCTGGAGGAAATGAATCTGTCAGTCTACATTGATGTCTCTGTGTTTGCTGATACCCTGTATTGTACCGTAAATGCCAGTGAAGACAGGATAAACTGGCATACTACAGATGGCACGAAGCATCATAACTACATTTAGCATTTTCTAGGCCAGCTTTGCCAGAAGAGACAGCCCAGCTGCACCCACCCATCAAAGATTTTTGCTGACTGACATGACACTTGCAGATGGATTTTTTGTGTAAGAATGTGCATCATTATATGCAAAATTACATTAATCTTTTATGCTTGTCTGTCCCTGGTGCTAGCATAGTTCAAAGCTTTTCTCCAGTGTTTCTAAATACTGTTAAAATTATTAGTCTTGGTGTCTAAAACAATCATCCTGTATCTGTACATGTTATAGCATACTATTTCTGCAGACTACTCAAATGCTGTATAAAAATGTTGAAAACACTCCTCTGTCTATGCACAGTGTGTGTGTATACAGTGAGTATAACTCATTCTTTAAAAACCAATAATAATAATAATTTTTTAAAAGTGGTAAAATCTCCACACTATGCACTAAAAACTGCCTACCAGCACACAACTTTCAAGTTTAAAAACAAAAACAAATGGGCACTTCATTCTATTACTGACAGTGAAAAATAAGCCCTGGCAGAGTTGATTGTATAGGAATTAAAAACACTGAACAGCAACACCAAGAGCCAACTACAGAAATATGAGATGGGATGAAGAGTTCTGTCTTTCAGCACTTCACTGTCCAAATTTGTTCTTGCTGCTTTGTGGATGTTGTTCTAAGTAACCTTTCAGTCTTACATTGTCTAGGTACTGCAAATCACTCAAACTTACATTAACATTTTCCTACAATAAATTTTAGACTTTAAATCAGTGTAGACATAAAGACTAAAAGTAAAAACTATCTTCAGTATGAAAATTGTACAGAAGCCTTCAATGCATAGCACTCTAAGCGTGTAGTTATTGCCCCCCGAGTTGCTTTTTTTGTTTGTTTGCTTTTTTTTTTTTTTTAAGAAGATGGCACCAGTGAACCAGACAACTTTCACTCATCCCCCTTTTCCATTTCTTTTCTTCTTTCCTTTGCTTCTTTTTCCTTAATACTTTGTTCATAATTATTTAATTCTTTACCAGCACTTAAGACACTAATGCAGTTTTCTCCTTTTGCCTGTAGGAGGAGTGTTAGGCAGCTAATAAGCACTTTAGCACTTGGTTATTGCCAAAGTAGCCCTATTTTAAAAGATAAGCAATTTCACATTTATTTGGCTAAAAACAGCAGTTTTTCTTTTTCAGAATTTAAATAAAAATAATCAAAATAAATTTCCAACCGTTTCTATTCAATTAGGAAAAATGCTTTTAAAATCAGAAAGAACGATATTCACAGCTTATATTAAATTATGTGAATTAATCTATAAAACTTGACTCAAATTTGGCTTATTAGTTCAGCTTTAGGATTTCAGCCAAAAATGTAATTTCATACAAGTTAATGATAATGCTGCCTTCAGCAGAGTTTAACAAATGAGGTTACCTTCGCAGTAAAAATAAATAATAACCAGTAGTATGGAAAAAGTCCAAAGGATAATTTTATTTCAATAATTGCTTAAAATGAAGTAATACCTAATTTAACAATATGACATGGTCACCTCTTATCGCTATGGAGTTGTAACAGAAAATTCTATTTCACAGTTTAGTTGATTTTCTTTTAAAATGTGGGCTAAATAACTTAAAAGCATGTAAATAAAGATTATAAAGTCAGCAAGATACATCTCATGCGAACACTTATCACATTATTGTATTATTATATTATTTTATTAGTATACTTAAGTCAGATTTGTTCTGAGGGCTTTTTGGCCTGTAACCTGAGCTGGCTGTGATTTCACAAAACGTTTAGGCAACGACTGCAGGTTAAGTAGTGCCTTTCAGCTGGAACCGATCATTTTGCAAACTAATTACAATGATCACAAGAAAAAAAGGCTTTTTGGGATTAAAATACCTCACATGGATATGAAATCATAAGTAAAGAACAGCAATGTATTAGAGGGAGTTATAATGCTATGAATATAATATTATTTGCATTGAATAATACCATTTCTCTGTAAACTTGGATGTCTGGGGGGACCAAATCTGATGCAGCAAAAGTTTCGGTCACTTCGCAGAAGGGAGCAGAAGCTATGAGATCATTACAATTTTAGTGCTTTAAGAAAATCTGTCCAGTTCCTTGCAGGAAGCCAATGAAATAGAATAGCCAAAGGGCAAATTCAGTGAAAGACATAAGGACATAAAGCATAACCCTGGCAGAATTTGGAGCTTTAAACCCAAACCTGATATTGGAGACCCACTGTCCAATGTCAAGCAGAAGGTAGTATCACTATAACATTAAACTTTTACCTTTGTGTTCTCCAGACAGGCAGCTGTGCCTGGTGAGAACTGCCCTTGTCATGCCAGAACTTCATCACTTAATGTCCCAGGTCATCCCTCAAACTCAGTCAGAACCCAGAGATAATGTGCTGTTCCCATTAGCCTCTCTTGTGTGATGTCCAACTAATAGATGTTCTCAGAAGAGAGGTAATATTTAAGGGCATGTTTATCAGAACGCTGAAGGAAATATTATCAAATGCATACAAGACTGTCAGACATAAAATGCTTGTTTCCTTTTATTCAACATTTAGCCTAGAATTATGAAAGCGATATTATTGGTATTGATGACTAGAGGGGAAAAACTGTTCAATGAAGAATAAAAATGCTAAAACACTTTTGATGACAAAATAGATTGCATTGTATTAACTAGAATTCCAAATGCACTATTTGCAGACAGAACCAGAAAGGGTTCAAACTGTCCTGCAAGCTTAGGTAGTAGCTTCACAAAAGATTAAACTATGCTTCTGAGACAGCTTACCTGTGACATCAGTTTTTATATCAGCAAGTTTAAAAAGAGGTGACACTTGTTCATAATAAATATGAGTGGCTTCTCTTTTGTGGCTGCTTGGATTAACAAATACTTTCAAGGATTTTGGCCTATTTTGAAACCCTAAAAAGAAAACACAAAACATTTATCATCACACACCATCCAGCTATTGCTACAGCTTAAATAAATTTTAACAAATACATTACTTCAATACAATAATTACAGCATTAAAAAGTCTCCATTTCTTTTGAATATGTGCTATTTGTCTCAAAATCACAGTACTGATTACTTTTTAATGTAAAGTTAATAACAGTGGAAATGATTTACAATTGTCGAAACATTGTAGAATGAGAAGGAAAAAAATATATAAGACATAGCTTTGTTAAACCTCGATACAGGAGCAGAATGTGTGCAGAAGTTATAGGATCAGGTAACAAAAAGAAGTATCAAAATATTTTCTTTTTGGAATTCCATGTGAAACACTGCCAGCAGGCATATGACAATAAGATCTAGCAAAACTGGCAGCACAATTCAATACTGTTGTTTTCTGGGACTGCAAATCAGACAGCACATCTTGAAAGGCAAGAAGAAATGTCAAGCAATAGATAATCTGGTAAAATTCATCCAGAAATCTAAGAATTGTGTGGGTTTTTTTGTTTTGTTTTGTTGTTTTTTTTTTTAAGTTACATTTAGGTCTTCAAGTTAACTCTGAACAGAAAATGCTGAAAAACACTACTTTGCCAACACTCAATCCTGCACATTGAGCCAATGAAATGTCTTTGAGAAGTAACTTTATTACCTGAAAAAGTGCTCTTTTGCTGAATTGTAAATAATTCATATTCAATAAGTAATAAAAAAAAACAGTAACACCATTTTTTCAAGTCTTTTCTGTGATTCCACAAGCTGCCCTGATTCAGTTGATTTGTTACTAAAAGCAAGTGGTGGCATCCAGTATGCTGTTTTTTGGTCATTACTTGAAATAAATGAGTTGAAAAATTTTGTGTTCAATTAATTCACTCAAATTCTCAATTTCCATTTAGCATCAGGTTAAATTATCACTTTCTCAGCCAAATAAAAGCTAGAAGATCTGATAAGTATGCCGCTTTCAACATTCAGGAGGAACATCAGCAGTAGTGCTCGATGTCAAAAGGAACCAAAACTGAAAAACAACAGATTTTCTGCTGCATAAAGAGTATTACTTTATTTTTTTACAGTCATATGAACCTTAAAATCATTGGCTGGGATTTCCTGAAGCTGTTTCCCTCTTATTCCACTGAATAGGAACAATTCCTCCGAGAAGTTATAGATGAACACTGTTTTAGAGTCAAAGGGAAAGTATTCTGTAAGGCCAAAATATAATGACTATAAAATTCCTATAGATTTCTTTGACTCATCTAAACACATCAAGGAATGCACAGATGAAAATGAACACTTTTACTAGCACAAGCCAGATAATCTTCCAAGATTTCTTAAATATACTGAAGGATGTCTACCAGGGCAGTTTAGTCTTGACGCATCCCTAATGCCTGGTGAATACCCTGGATGTCTTCAGTCAGAGGCCTTAGCTCCTTCACAAAGAAGCACGTTCTTGGGAGGCACGTCATGTCATGTGTATGAAATAAAACAGCCCTTAAGCAGAGACAGGTTCCCCCTTCGTGCCAACTTATGTAGTAAGTTAAACACTTTCAACTCTAAGCATTTGTTGACACTACTCACTGGTGTTTTGACTTGAAGTCACTGGCCTGCTTTATTTCTTTCTATCCAAGAAATATAAAAACCCACAATAAAGAAAATGGTAAAGCAAGAAATTGTCAAGCTTACTAGTAACAGCAACTTCCCTCTCTTTCTCTCTCTCTACTAGCAAAAGACACACAGATAATTTAGAAGCAAGCCAACAAACTTTTTTCTCCTACAAAGAATATGCTGATGAGCTTTCTGTTATGCACCACAATTGACAGCTTAGAAAAATCATGAGGGAAAAAAAAACCACAAACTTTAAATGCCTGCTTATGGGTTCTTATAAAAATCACTTTGAGAATACGGAGCAGTATCTAAATTTACTGTACCACCAAAAGAGTAGAGAAATGCTGCACCAAAAGAGTAAAGGGAAATGAGTAAATAAGGTGTATTCCAAAGGCTCTTGATGGTAGACCAATTCTTTGCTCATTCCTTTTTCATTTCACAAATGATATTTGAGAACAGAGATGGTACAGTATCATACATGAATGGCTGATCAGGACAAAAATTATTAGCTATCATTCCCAGTGTGTAACAGACATGTTATAAATCAAGCAACTGGGCTTAATAAAAGAAAATCCAATAACAGTCAAAGATGAAATTTTCACACAATCATGGAATGAAACTTCTTTAAAAAAAGGAGTTTAAATAATTATCATCTTTTAATTTTCTTTAAACAACATTGTGAATGAATTGATCTTATTTACTACAGCCTGCAACTGCTTTCAGTCTGTCAGCCTTTCGGTGCTGTCCTAACTGGTGTTCTGTTATTGTTTTCTGTAGCTGCTCCATTTGAAATGAACCAGCAGCCTAAAGCAGGAAGGCCAACTGTTCTTCCAGTACTAACAAATGTGCTAATATGCACTAGTTTAAACTTGATCTATCAAGTGAATCAGTGAACCATGAAGGGTGGTAGGTCAATCAGGGTGCTCTGAAAACAAAGGCTCGGAGGGCAGCAGAGACGCTATGCTCAGACATACATCTGTGCTGCTTTCCATTCCTACTTTTATGGAAATGGGTTTATGTTACAAAAGTTAAGGGTCTGGAATCATGTCGTTATTACATGCATTTATAAATACTTTATACACCAGTAAGAGTATTATACATGAGGAAAATTAATAATATGAAACAGATTTGTTATTGTAACTATGGAGATACCACTGTTAATATTAACTAAGCAAAGTTAATGTTTAACATTAATGGTTTAATTAAAACTTCATGCATGAAGTTTCAGCCTTGTATATCAAATCCCAGTGTGAAAGAGATGCTACAGAATAGTATATAAAAATAAAATGCACTTTATGCATTTTTTGCTACTTCAACATTTATTTTTAACAGTATTTACCATCTTACACTAATTTACAGAGCTTTTAAGCGAAACTTTTTCAAATTAACTGCTAGTGAGAATAAGTCTCATCGCAGTTGAAAAAAATTCAAAAAAGGAAAATGAGTAAGCATTGCTAATTATCCATTTTCTCCCATTTCCAGTGCCATCTTAACCCTTTAAGTAGCTCTGAGCATTTGCATGTGGAGAGGATTCGAAATTAATCAGTGAATCCTGCTTACACAGCATGCCTGCAGCACACACTCAAAAGCCCAGTACAGGAAGATGTGAAGAGGAAATCTCTGCGAGTCAGCGTACAACAGGTCTGACATAAGACCAGCACCACACTAGGAATGGTCTAAGCAGCCTTTTGGGACTTTCCAGGAGCCTAAGCTCCATAGGTGCGTGCTTTGATTTGACAGCAGTCATTTCACATCAATTTAACAAATATGCAAAACAGATCATAGGGTTTTTTTGAATGCTGTATCATTGAGCAAGCTCTTAATATCCCACAGGAGAAACAGCACTGTTATGTATAAAATCAGCATTTATTTAAAAGTGAGAAGATAGTAGCACGTGCTTGTTACTGTTGCACACGTGTAGCAAGATGTAACAGACACTGAACCTGCACTGAAAACAACTACAGAGTGTGCGTGCTCACCTACAGGATGGCAGGCGTCATGAAAGAACAGAGACTAGACAGACTTTAAATTGAAGTTCTTAGAAGAGAAATTGAGAGCAGACAAGATTATTCATTATAAAGAGCACAAGAGAAGTAAACATACAAGAAACATTCACATCAAATATGTAGTAAAAAGGAAATTGTGTACATTGTATTTTAAAAAAGACAAAACAAATAAACAAAAAAGATTTCACTAGAACAGACTTCCACGTAAAAACTAATCCCTGATATACTTGCAACTGCTGTTGGTTAATAAGTGAACAACACTTTAAAATCCAAAAAAGAGTAAGATAAACAAGTAGAAATGTATTTTGTTTCAGCTGCTGGAGACATACCCTTCTGTAATGTTTAACCATGTGACAAATACATATTTACTGACAGCCATATTCATTCAGCATACAGACATAATGTTGACAAACCACCTCCTTAATTTGCTCTGGCCTCAAAGAAGAAAAAAATCATCCAAGAATGTAAGTCAATAGTTAATGAAAACTTTTTTTCCAATATGAAACATAACAGCAACAAAAAAATGTTATTTTGGAAGGGTATAATTTTATTTTTTTCCTGCAGTCTATAAATAAACAAAAAAGAGCCAATTTGAGTTCATTAGTGAAGATATCCTAAGATGTCCTCAGCACTATTACAAAAATAAGCTATGGAAAAAAATAGGAAAACTTATCACCATTTCTAGCAGAGATATATTAATGTACCTTTTGCAATTTTAATTAACAAACAATCAGCAGAACTTAACCACACTTTCTACTTTTAGTCCAGAACTGTATCCTACTGGAGCCTTCCAGCCAACGTTTGGTGTATTTTTAATCAAAATAATTTTTTTCCTGAATTACATTATTAGTTTATTATTATATTATCACCATTGTTTGAATGACTGATGTTTCTGCCACTTTGAGTATAGAAATGATACTGTCAATTTGCTGATTTTCTGCATAGAGATACAGTTTAAATACTTACTCAGTCCTCAATAACCAATACTATATAAAACTTCTACTACAACTACAGAATTTGCAACAATAAACACTTTAGTAAATGTTGCAGGGGTTGTGTTTGGTTATTTCCCCCATAGACACACTGAGTCCTGATTATTCCTGAAGCAAAAAGAAAGGAGAAAATGCACTGATTAAACATCAGGCAAAATCTGCACAAGGTTTAACTTCTGGAGAAAGACCAAAGCTGAAGGAAGAGCCAGAGACAGCAACATTGCACAGAATGCTTTTTTCAGGTTCAGGTGGCTTCCAATTACAAAGCTATGAAACAGAGGCTGCACCTCGAAGTCAAGGCAACCTGAGCAAGAGATACTGCTGCTTTTTTTTTCTGTGAACATATGGTATCACTGCTCCTGATGGATGGAGGGTAATCTGGGAACAAAACAGACATTTGCTTCTTATGCAAATGTCTTCGCTTTTATGGGTAGCTGGAGATCTGCAAGAATCTTGGCACTTCTGCCGATTTCAATATTTAGTGATAAGGCCTTTCAAAAGGAGCAAAGGAAAGTATGTTTTTATCCACAATTTTGTTTGGAAAATCCAAAGCATGTTGTAAGCAAACAGTACGCACACCTAAAGCATGTTATTTTACTTTCTCTGATATCTGTTTTTGGCAAAGTAACTTTAATAGAAGTACACTATAATTCAGCATTGGCAGTGCCACAACAAACATTAACAGAGATTTGAATGCTCTAATCTGCCTCAGTATTAACAATTCAGCTGGAGTTTTAACAGCTTATTATAAGATCGGTTGTTTTTCTTCCATAATTAAGAAATTCATTTGCTGTGGTCAATAAACAGAAACATTTTGAAGATAAATCAGAGTTTGGTTTGTATTTTTCTGTTTTGTTTTAATTACAAGTGCACTATACTACATGTCTTTCCAAAACTGAAGGTCTTAAATTACAGTGAAAGGGTTTGACTTGTTTTTTTGTTTTGTGCTGTTTCCACCACACACATACCCTCTAAACAGTGAATGTTTCTTTAACTTGAATCAGTTTCCATGAAAAACACAACTATCAGGGGTTAACAAAGCATCCCAAAAACATTATTAGCCCAGGCAAAACCAGAAAGATAGTTCTAAAATAAAGAATTGCCTCTTGTCAGTAGCCAGTGTCAATACACTTTGTACAAAATTATCCAACAAGGGTCCTACCGAGCCTTAAGAGCACTTCCACCTGTGAATTTATGAAGGAGAAAAGCCTGTCCTGTTAGCCTCTAAGAATCTGCACATCTCAAGTGGAAGCTCTTAAACAAGCTCTGGGCAGCCTCTGAAGAGTCCAGAATACAATCAGCTACTCGCTTGCAGTGCTTGAATACTTCTAAGTAATAACATCAGATGCAAAAGCAGCATCTTTTTCTACAGATGCATTAGTCATCATCACTTTCTTAATCTGGGCACTTCACTACGTAGAATGTCAGTAGTAAACATTTTCCAACAACATTCATATGTTTGCGTTTTAATTTCCACAGACAAAACAGTTTCTCTAAGCTTCATTAAACCTAGTGCTTTACTGGTAGAAACAAGTGTGAAGTAATATTAACTCAGATTAAGTGCTTACCGTTCAAAATTTCCTTTAGACATCTAAACCATGAATGACAATGGTCTTCACTGAAGTTATTCAAGTGGATAGCACAGTCTGTTAGTTTATTTTCTTCTTTATGCAAGCATTTAAAAACAGTGATACCCAACAAAGTACCACCTTTCTTCTGTCCAACAAAACGGCGACGCTTCACTTTCACTGAAAATACATCCTTCATTTCAATAACCTCCTCTTTCACCTGTAAAGCTGTACTGGAATCACCTGAAGGGAAGGGAAAAAAAAAAAACGTTATGAGTTGAATAGGAGTAAATATCTTAAAAAAGCATATAACAGCAACAACAGCAACAAAAAAAAACTTATGGCTTCAGCACTAGCTTCAAGTTTTCACAGAATAATGGAATTATTTGAGTCAGAAAAGACCCTTGTAGGTCTTCAGGTCATCTACATCTATAGAGGGAACAGGATGCTCAGAGTGCTATACAGTCTGACCTAAATGAATGGGGCATTCACCATCTCTCTGAGCAACCTGTTTCTGTTCTTCATCACCCTCAGTGTAAAACACTTTCATTCTTATATTCAATCTAAATTTCCCCTCTTTCAGTATGAAACTATTTTCTCTTGCCCTATCACAATAAACCCCGATAAAGAGTCCATCCCTTTCTTTCTTGTAGCCCCCCTTTAGACACTGAAAGGCAACTTTCAGATCTCCCTAGAACTTTGTCTTCTCCAGGCTACTACATCTGCTTGTGCCTGTATTGAAATTTAGTGCATATCACATGCATCAATTGCTGGTCTTAGTTTGGTCTTGTATTTTACAAACTCTCTATTACTTAGGTTAGATATTCTGCTATACAAATACCATAACTTCAAAGAGTCTTTTGATATTGAAAGCACTAACTAAAATTCTAGACTCTAAAAAAAAAAAAAAAAAAAAAAGTTATAATCTCCCCCCTCCCTGCATTTGTTGTTTGTTGTAACTGTTGTTATGTCCACAGGGCTAATTCTTCATTCTCCTTTGAATCAGAACTATTGGAGATCAAAAATTCTCTATGACACAAGCTGACTTTATAAACATAGCTGATTAATTATGTTTTTTTTCCCCATTAATACAAATGCTATTCTTGGGGTTTAAACCAGAGCAAGATCAGAAAACAGTTGAGTAAAACCAGAAAAATAAACCAAAAGAACATCACCAACTTGTCTTCTGAATTGTATTCATAACTTGAAAAGGAAAGACAAGTGGAAGAAAGTCTCGAAAACTCCTCCAACAGTTCAAGGCTCTTAGCCCCAAGAAAAGTTTCTTCAGGCTGGAACTGAGAATTCTGTAGCTGTCATACACACTGCCATTCAATTACAATAGTTGCAAATGCCTTTCTGAGAGCTATTAAACAAGCTACTCTGGTACAAACTTTTCCTGCTTCCTTAAGCTACAAAACATTTGAATCCTCAGAATCAACCTAATTCAAGTACACAATTTGAAAGGAAAAAAAAAAGGCATAATTCCTGTAGGAGATGGATATTCTGGACCGGAAAATAAAAGACCCTCTACTATCTACATAACTACAGCAGATGCAATGTGCTATAGACCAACAAAGAAAGGTCGCCTTGCAGCCCAAGGCAAGAGTAACTAGAAACCAGGGTTTCCCAAATCTTTTCCAAACGTTGCAGCAGCTCAAATGGTTTATTAGTGGAAAAGCTACAGGGCATAGTGTGTGATGAATGCCATGCACTGAGAGAAAGCTCAGGGTAAGGTGCAAAACCCTGTCATGGTACTCTTGCTGGAGACATGAGCAGTATGAAACTGCAGAATCAGGTGCTGCCTCCCTCAGTACACCACACTGAGCTGAGAGCCTCAGCAAGTCCACCTTTTTTGAGCAGGACAAGTCTGTGTAACCACCTGCGAGGCTGTGATCCAGCATTTGTCAGCACCACCGACAGCGACCACATTTCCATCGGAGCCCCAGGGCAGCGTCCAACGCGTCCAAAGAGTGAGCTGACAGCACAAAGGAACCTTAACACCTACATTGCACCACATCTGACATCTCGGCTTTTACCAACTTTACATTGCTCCTCTAAAACATTTGGGAGTAAATAGCCTTTGAGGACCTTAAATGAAGTACTTCTTAGAGACATCCTGAATTCCTTACTTTGAACAACACATATGTTTAGGTTTTGTTTAATATGCATATTTAGTACCTGTCTTAACTTTTAAAATAGCATTGTCGAGAGGGGTCTGCTCTTTTTCTGGAAAGACTTGTGCTTTCAGGCACAAATTCCAATGAAAATTCCAGCACACACTCAACAATTTAGGAAATTTCAGAAACAAGGACACATAGAATATAATGACAACTGTCCTGCAGCAGCAACGAGGCCACAGCATTTATTCACTCAGAACAGTATAAATATTTCACTTTTTTTTTTAATATCTTAAGTCAAATAACATTTTCAATTAACTATTAGCTTTGCTGAGATATCAGAAATTCTTTTATGCTAATGTTATACATACAAATAATAACTGGATTACAAAGTCTAGTCTATTTGCCCTGCACAGAACAAGTAAAATAAGTGTCTGCTAAAATACTTTCTGCTATGAGTTCCCATAAAGTAACAGTCATAAGTCAGTAAGTCTCATCTTGTCTTCTCATGCTATTTCAGCCAGGTCTCAAAGCTTCCTCTCCCTCTGTATTTGTCAGCCTTGTGTTGCTGAGATGCACATTAAAACTTTAGATAACCAAATAAAGCACTCATAATAGATAGCACTGCACTTCCAAAAACAGTATTTGACTCCAGCTGTTTTACTGTAACATAACTTTCAAACACAGCTTAGAGAAGTATATAAACTATAGGAACACTGAAACATACAAAAGCATAATCCTCAAATTTTAAGTTGCAGAGAAAATACCAAACAAGCTAGTAGGATCAGGGCAGCCAATTTTTACTGAGATTGGAAAGAACTCTGCATACAAGGCCTTAGGAACATCTTACAACATTTTTAATCTTCTATTTTTACTGAAAATAAGACAATTGCTAATATAGTAAAATCCTATAAAACAATTCAGGTGAAAATTTAAGTCAAGCTGTATTTATAAAATATCTCTAATGTGTAATAACAAGAAAAATTACTTTAAAAATAAAGTTTGTATTGGATTAGACTTTTTAAACTTCACCAAATCAGTTTGTTAGTATCACGATGGTTACTGGTAGCTTTTTCAGGACATCAACTGTCCTCTCACATTACTTAGAAAGATATTGGGTACCATCTGTTCTTGCAAAAGATTTAAGTATACATCCATTAGATATCATGCTATTTATTTAATTCAGTACCCACTTCCCATTGTTGTATCTTCTGAAAAAAAAAGTCAATTTAATTACAAGGAATAAAGATAATCTCTTCTACCGGGCTGCCCTGTCATCATGAGAGCTGAGAAGGAACCTGTATAAAGTAGGTTACAGGCGTTAGGAAGACTAAAACTAGCAGTACTTAACATTTAACAAAGAACTAACAAAAACAGAGTATATGGTACTTAAAAAAAAAAAAATTACTATAAGCCAAGAGCTTGTCTAAATCAATCTCAGCACATCTGTCTGATGTAGAGCGTAAACAGGATTAGAGTTGGATTTATCTGCTTGACGCTAATTGTACTCACAGTTTCTGCACATGTCCACTTTTTTTTTTTTTTTTTTTTCCCCCAAATACAGCATGAAAAGAAAGCCTGCCTGATACACGAATTTCCAGGAAGTTTTATGCCTCTATTTATCCTATCACTGATTTAAAAAAAAATGAGACTATCCTACATTCTTCCTGTTTACAATTATCTAATCTCTTATTTAATAAAAAAGATGTCTAAATACACTATAATAAGCTAAATCAAAGGGTGAGATATTGATGCACTCAAATACAGTTTATCTGCAAATTGTAAATATTTTAATTCATTCAGAGAGTGAAATTAAGCTTTAAAAAAAATTCTCACATTTACAGCAAACTTGATCAAGAAAGTAAGTTTGACAGAAAATAGAACAGCTTGCAAAGTGCATTATTAAGATATAAACACTTCAACAATCAAATGTTTATTGAACTGTTATCTTACAGTAGAGGCCCAACATCTAGAAGAGGTGAGTAGATCTGAGGACCTAATTCCTATAACAGGTATCTGGAGTATATTGAAAAGAGAAATACACACGTGAGGTGGGTGTATGGTTCAAGTACAAGATTTGGAAATAAGGAAAAATGGGTTGTGCTTCCTTGTTCATTAATTCTTCCTAAGACCTTTAGAAAGCCATTTCCCTGCCTAACTATATTTTATAGATAAACTTACTGAAAAATTTGTCCTGTGGTGCTTTGAAAATTTGCCTCATTAATAGTTCATTGCTATATCTGAGCACAGTATAAAAACAAAATATTTAATTAGAAATAAAAACCATCAAGAATATACCAAAGAAAATTCAGCAAACAACAGTAGTTACCACAGATCTTACACAGCATGAACACTATTTTCAAAATGACCATTCTAGATATGCAATAAGATATAATGGAAAAGGAAATAGATTTCATTTTTCATTCGAAGTATCTGGACAACGTGTTTACAGATTCAGGCTTAGCAGTATTTACTTAGATATAATGTTAAATAATGTCTAACGAATACATACAGGAAAGCAACTACTAACTTAAGCCTATTTTTCCCCTTAGAATGTGCAGTGAAGTGGCACGCCACTGCTTCATGAAACCACTCCAGAGTTTTCAACTGCAATATTGATTAAGAAGGATCAGTAACAAAGACTACAATGGTGCAAGTACGATCATCCTTGCCAAAAACGCTGAGAAGTGCCATATAGCTCATGTCAGACTACTCAGTATTAGTTAAACACTCCAAGCATAAGACAGAAAAGCTTTTTTCAGAACATCTGAATATTCAAGTGCTTTCTATTTCAGAAAGACAGATCAGGCATCTCCTTGGGAAAAAAGTTGATGCGATGCCTCTTACTCTCTCCCATAAACAAAGAAAGAAAACTTCACTTCTTGGCCAGAATAGTGATCAATGAACTGGAGAAACGGTGAGAGAAGGCCCAGGCTTCAAAGGAGTTTCTGTTGTTTTGTTCTGTTTTTCCTTTGAAGACCACCTTTACACTACTACCCTCCTTTTAAATGATGTTATAAAAGACATACAACTCAACCAAGGCTCTACTCTAGAAAAATGTTTTCCAGGCTGTTTTTAATGATCTCCCAGGGAATGGTGAGAAGTCCAGGGAATACTACAAAGTAC